GAATTACTGTCCTTAGTGTGGACACACACGTTCGAATTTGCAATATCGATTACAAAAATTCGATGCAAGTAAAATCGAACTACTCTCGTAGTGTAGACAAGGCCTCAGTATTATTAAAACAAACAAACAATAAGTAATAGGAGAAGGAGAGCCCAATTTTGAGAGGTTCTGAACATTCATAACTCCCATTGAACTTAGTAGGAAATATAGGTGCTTGTCACTTCCCAGGGTCAGGCCCAAACGAAGGACCAATCATCTTGCAACCCCAATTTAATAGTGAAAATGTCAGCAAATCCAGCCAGAGAAGTCATCTCCCTCAGTTATGTACTCTACATTAACAGTTTTCTCCACCATAAACAGGTTTGTATTTATTCTTATCTCTGATTTCAGAGTTTGGGAAATGTCACATTTATAGTTAGGGCCCTACCAAATTCACGGCCATGAAAAAGGCATCACTAACCGTGAAATCTGGTCTCCCTCCGTGAAATTTGGTCTTTTGTGTGCTTTTACCCTATACTATACAGATTTCAGGGGGGAGACCAGCGTTTCCTCAAACTGGGGGTCCTGACCCAAAAGGGAGTTGCAGGGGGGTTGTGGTTTTGTCACCCTGACTTCTACACTGCCTTCAGGCTTGGTGGCTGGAGAGCGGCGGCTGCTGGTTGTGTGCCCAGCTTTGAAGGCAACGCCACTGCCAGCAGCACTGCAGAAGTAAGGGTGGCAATACCATACCATGCCACCCTTACTTCTACGCTGCTTCTGGTGCCGATGCTGCCTTCAGAGCTAGGCGACTGGAGAGCAGCGGCTGCTGGCCAGGGACCCAGCTATGAAGGCAGCGCCCCATCAGCAGCTGCGCAGAAGTAAGCGAGGCAGTACCATACCATGACACCCTTATTCCTGCGCTGCTGCCTTCAGAGCTGGGTGGCTGGAGAGTGGCAGCTGCTTACTAAGGACTCAGCCCTGTAGACAGCAATGCAGAAGCAAGGGTATCAATATTATACCATACCATCCTTGCTTCTGCGCTGCTGCTGGCGGTGACTCTGCCTTCAGAGCTGGGCTCCCGGCCAGCAGCCACCGCTCTCCAGCTGCCCAGCTCCAAAGGCAGCAGCGCAGAAGTAAGGGTAGCAGTACTGCAATCCCCGCTACAGTAACCTTGCAATATTCCCCCCCCACACACACCCACACCTCCTTTTTTGAGTCAGGACTCCTACAATTACACCATCATGAAATTTCAGATTTAAATAAGTAAAATCATGAAATTTACTATTTTTAAAATCCCACGACTGTGAAATTGACCAAAATGGACTGTGAATTTGGTAGGGCCCTATTTATAATATGCAGCTAATATGTCTTCTACAACTTGCTATTTGGAGTAGATCACATCTTGAGTTTATAAAATCACAGTGATATATTTTAGCTTTTAAAATTTAACCAACTGTACAATTCATTATTTATACTGTGAATTTGATAAGTACCTACGTAAATAAAAAATACCTTTGTGTCCAGTTTGCTGGGTGCAGCCCATGTTCAATTGCAGCATTTTCTGCAGGTAACCCAAATGCATCCCATCCCATTGGATTTATCACCTGTAACAAAAATGAAAAATGTTATCCTTTGTCACTTTCTGGAATGGAGTTAGTAACACCTTCAGGGCTCAAAATAATGAATTGTTTCACACTTGAGCATTTGCTTTCCCTGATTTGAGTCACTCCAAAAAGTGCCCACTGGGACTAGTTCAGCTTTAATGGAAATATGAGATATGTCTGCCTGCTGTAGTTTGGTGACATAGGGAGTATGAATGCAGTAGGAGTAGTTAATCTATAGATCACTCACATAGTTCATCACAGTCACTATTTCAATAATGGGTTAACAATGACAATATCAACCCTCTGTAATTTGTCTAATGTTCTAACTATACCAAAACACAAAGCAACTGACATTATGAGTCGGAAGAAGCTGTTGTACTACAAATCTTTGTGCTAGAAAAGGGTGAAAAGATGAACAAGGGTGTTTGGACACAAATTCCCATATCTGAGAACCTGTTGCATAGCTCTAGGTCAGATCCAAACTGGAGCATGCCTGTTTATCCAATTTTTTTATTTTGGTTTAAGTGGGAAAAGGGGGAAGGAAAAGAGTTTCCAATAGCCCCAAATAATACAGGCAAAACAAAACATACACAGAGACCCTAAAAAGTTTTCAGTAAATTTTGTGAAAACAATCTTGGGAATTTTGACTGAAGACTTTTATACACATTATTTTAGAAAGATGACAATTAAATGAGAACTGAAAAAAATAAGTTTACTATAGAAACAAAACTATTGATTTAAAGTGGTGCAACCTGTGCATAGCTTTCCTACTGATAACTAATTGATTAGTTAGTCAGCAGCACAGTATATTCAAAAAGCTTTTTTCTTTTCCTGAATGTATGGTAATAGTGTAAAAATGGTTTAACTTAACACTTCAGTAATGTTGCCGTTAAATGTGCCTGGACAGTAAAGTGATAGGTGCTTTGTAAAAGAGACAGAGTTTCTTACCATTTTAAATATGTTATGAAATTCAGTAATTCTGACCTATTACAAATAAAAGATTAGCAGCAGCAGGTGATATAAAAGGGATCGGCAACCTTTGACCCGCGGCCCGCCAGAGTAAGCACCCTGACAGGCCGGGCCGGTTTGTTTACCTGCCGCGTCCGCAGATTCAGCCGATCGCGGCTCCCATTGGCCGCGGTTCGCTGCTCCAGGCCAATGGGGGCAGCGGGAAGCAGCGGCCAATACATCCCTCGGCCCGCGCCGCTTCCCGCAGACCCCATTGGCCTGGAGTGGCAAACCGCGGCCAGTGGGAGCTGCGATCAGCCGAACCTGCAGATGCGGCAGGTAAACAAACCGGCCCGCCCGCCCGGGTGCTTACCCTCATGGGCCGCGGGCCAAAAGGTTGCCGATCCCTGTGATACAAGAATAGTATTTAAAAGGTTTACAAGACATAAAATTTGACCTCCCACCTAAATAATCATTATGTAAAAATCTCCCTGTGTTATTTCAGAACTCTGTAAAAAAAGAGGAACAGTTAGACAAACAAGCAATAGTAATATCAGAAGTTGAATATGAAGACAAATGCTAATACCTCCATTTGGAAAAATGAACTAATTTCTTAGGTGCAAGCACTCCTTTTCTTATTATTTTGTTATTTTTACTCTTAATTTGACATAATCCACCAAATGTGAACAAAAATGATCCCCTGACTTCAACTGTGGTTCTTTCCCATTTGAAACACAAACAAACAAAAACAAAAAGCACCCCCCTTAGATATTTACATGGTGCCTGCAGTACCACCTCAGTATATAAGCATCAGCATCTAACGGATATTGTCTCCCCAACATCCTGTGTTTTAAACACTGATTAAAAACTAATATTACTCTATTTTATTCCTCTGTTGGTACACCAGCTCCATCAATGACATCAGCTCTGGGAAGAATATTTGTTGATTAATTGTGACTCAAGACAGCATAGGGAGTTCCAGAGCATAGATTTACACACAATCAATGCACTAACAAAGCAAGAGATATTGTATTTTTTGTTGTAGCCTTTTCCAGTTACCAAGCAGATTTTTAAACATATCTAGAAACAAAAATACATTCTCCACCTCCCTGAGATTACAGCCATTTGATGTCAAGACACGTTTTGGGCTGACACCACATGACAACAGCCCTTTAAGCATGCTGGGGCCATTCAAAAAATAAAAATGGCTACTATAAAATAAATTAAATGACAATTTTGCTTAACTAAAAATTCTGTTAAATGATTTTTAATGGGGTTTCTTTTTTTAAATGGGATACTTAAAGATAAGCATCCTCTCATCAATTCTTCCTGACTGTTGTTTAAATGTTGAGGGATTTGCAATGGAAAGAGATGTTACATTTGGAGAAATAGCCTTGTATTCTACAGTTCTCCCACACCCACCATTATAATCTTCATCATTCTATACAACAAGAAATGTGCCTACAGTACACTTCTGAATAACCGCTCTGGGTTCATTTTTGTAAACATTAAGGGCCAATCTGTATATGGTCCTGTAAGGGTGTGGAAGGGCAGCTGAACGGGAACAATGAACCTTCCACTCTTTGCTCAGCTGAGCAGCCCATAGCCTCAGTCCTCATGATCCCCAAGTACAAGAACTAGGAAAATGTAGCTCTGCTGTTGGCTAGACTCACCAGAGCAGCTGGGTGATGTTCCTGACCAGTGCAGGAAGAGGGAGCACATGCTACATTCTATTAAAGGGGGTCAGAGCCATTGTTCTTTCATGTGTTTTTCCCAGTGGCCCCAGAAACAGTCCAGCATGGAGCCCCCTCCTTATATATCTTGCTTAACAGCCACAGCATAACTCTACATTTCCATTACAATAATATACCAACATCCCTCACCAGGACAGCATCACTGTCGGTCTCAAATATCAACAAGACAATGGACAGCACTCAGATATCCACCCCATACATCGCCAAACTCATCCATTTCATCCTCACACATAACAACTTAACATTTCATAATAAACACTTTGTCCAAACCATGAGAACAGCCACGAGCAGTAGGATGGCTCCCAAATAAGCTAACCTCCTTAAGGGAAGAATTTCTGGAAAATTGTGTCAGGAAACCAATGACATTTTTATCCTCTGGACAAATAATTTACACTCTCTCATATATTTCCACTACAACTTCAACAGCCACCGCCCATCCATCAAACTCTCTCTAGAATACCCCCATACCAGCATCAACTTCCTGGACAGCACGATCATCTTCCAACAATGGAACCCCACACACAACTATATACAAGAAACCCACAGATCACCACACTCACCTCCACAGATCAAGTAACCACCCCAGACACACCAAGAAACCTGTTGTCTAAAGCCCAGCACTCAGATCCCACAGAATATGCTCCAAGGAGAAAGTTTGGTATATATAACTTAGCACACTTAAAACACAGAAAACAAAACAAAACCACTGACCACACACACCTAGTCCTCACCTACCACCCCACTCTGGAACCCATATGGGGTATCATTGAACAATTACAAGCCGTACTTGATGGGGACTACATCCTGAAAGAAATCTTTCCCAAACCCCCTTTTTTGGCCTTCAAATAAACTCTCAGCCTTGCCAGCTCATCATCAGAAGTAAGCTCCCAACAGGATACCAACTCAAAGTGGCATCAGACCTTGCAATAACAGCAGATGCAAAACGTCCAGATATATCTCTACTGCTACAATGATCAATACCCCTCCCAATACACCTTTCAAGATCCATGGGTCCTATACATGCCTATCAAACATGTGATATGCCTCATCAAATGCCTCAACAACTATGTGCATGAAACTAGATAATCATTACATTCTCGAATGAACTCACAGAAGAATGATAAAAGACAAAAACATGCTATTACCCATGGGAAAACTCTTTTCACAAAGCAATCATTTTATATCTGACCTATCAGTCCTCATCCTCAAAGGAAATCTGCACAACACCTTCAAAAGATGAGCCTAGGAACTTGAATTCACAACTAAGCAAGACTCTAAAAATCATGGAATCAAAGATACAGTTGTTATGACTCATTACAACAATCTGTAACCAACTAACCCTTCCTTGTTCTATGCTTGTCCTAATTGCCCACGGCACCTTAAATGGTCTCTTGCAACATGCGTTTACTCCTAATGCTTAACAATCTGCCCCACCTCATATTTAGCTGAGACATTCCAATTACCTTTTTCAGACTGAAGAACTCTGTGTAGTTTGAAAGCTTGTCTTTTTCACCAACAGAGTTGGTCCAATATGAGATATTACCTCACTCACCTTGTCTCTCTCATTACAACAACAAACATGCAATCACTGTACTTGGTGTCTTCCTATTAAGTCTATCAACTTTTGGGGGAGTTTAATATGTACTTTTCTGAAGATGGTACAGTATTGCTATCTCCTCACACATGTTTTTTTAAATCAACCTCTGGAATGTCTATTCATTAGGAAATCAATTTAAGAATTTCACCAACAGAAGATATTTTGCTCTAACAGCTATCTAAGGAGATCCTAAAATTAAAGCATGAAGAAATATTTACATTTGAGGTTTCCTACTGGAACCTTAGTTTAAAGATCATTAAAAATATCCACAAGTGAAACTCCAGAATAGATGTATCTATGCAGTTGCCATACAGACTAATGTAGCGCACACAATATATTAGAGAAAATCATTTCAAGTTCACTGTCTCTTTTACCTCTATAGTGAGAATGGATTTGAAAGTTTGTGAAATGCAATTGTCTAAATGGTAATATGTCTGTTTCTTCTGACCATACTAAGGGATATGAATCTACAGATAAAATGCAATAGTCCCCACACAGCTCTCCATACTATACTTAAGGTCTACTCAGTTACCATGGACAAAGCACAATCGAAAGATGCCTATTCAGCTGAGTATGATTTCTATAGTAGTGAAATACAGGGTAGAAAATCAGGGAAGAATGCATGAAATACACACATTATTTGTATATCAGAAGATACATCAAATTCAAATAATACTGAAAAGAATACAAGGACCTGTCAT